CGGGCCCAGCCGCTCTTCATCCCCTCGGGTGAGTGCCCTATCCCCATGTTGTGTCTCCCACCTCTGACGTCTGCCAGGGGAGGTCATGCCCTGGCTGTTCCTGCCTTGCCTTGGGGTCAGTCCTGCTCTGTGGTCACCTCTCGGGCCACCTCGGGGCCATGAGCCCCTGCAGCTTCCAGCCTGGCTGTGCTCACAGAGGCCAGGCACATGGGATCGCATGGGGCCCCAAGAGCCCAGCCCATAGAGCGCAGCCACACTGTCAGAGATGGTGTTTGCTGATCTCAACATCTCAAACATATGCAGAAGGAGGAAACGTGACATGAGCAGATAAATGCCCTTTACAGACGTCATGTTGCTTCGCCCATAAATATTTCACCGTATCTGTAAGGTTTCCTTTTAAAAATAACATAATTACAATACTGTCATCACACTTTAAAAATGAACAGTTAACAGTTCCTTAGTATCACCAAATAGCCAGTCAGTGTTCAGATTTTCTAATTGTCGTATATGGAGGCCCTCACATTTCCACTGATTTATGTGCCTCTGAGTGCTTCCTGATCTAGTCCCTACCCTTGTTTCCTATAATCACAGTTATTTCCCAAAGTCTGTAGGGACAAACCCAGCTCTCCCGGGAGGTGTGGCAACTCTGCCTGTCTCTTTCCACCCCTGTATGTGGAGATCAGGGATGCCAGGCAGCCCGACCCTGGGGTGGGTCTGAGCAAGTCCCCTTGGCTCCTGGGCCTCAGTTTCCCTGTCTGCACCATACAGGACTGGATAGAATAGACTGTGAGCTCGGACACAGTCTGTCCTTCTGGGAGGGCCCACCCACTCATTACACGGAAGCCAGGGCCAGAGCACCTTCCAGGGGGCCCCGGGTGGATGGGGGCACAGAGGAAGGGCTGGCAGGAGTCAGGCCTGGTAGCTGCCAAGAGCCTGGCATGAGAACATTGTTAAGAGATAGCCCCATCCCTGTCTTCCCAGGCTGGATTTATGCCACACTTACACCTGTGGACTGCCTGGCCTTCGCGGGACATTTCCTGCATAGCCTGAGCGTGGAGATGCAGATGAGGTAGGGCCACACCTGACTCCCAGGATCTGCTGGGTGGGGTCCCCACCATCGGTGTGATGATACCTCTTCTGAGTCCTGGCTGGGCCTCTGGGTGGTGGGGAGGAAGGAGGAGGGGGGCCGTGATCTTACCAGGGCCCCTGAGGTGCCTGGTCACTGGACAGCCTCGGGACTGTAGTGGGTTTGGGGTGAGCTGAAAGGCCGAGCTGCCTTCTCCTTGGGCACTGACCCAGAGCTCTAGAAGCCGCGGCCCACGGGGCTTGCCCTTAACGCGAAGCGCTCATCCTGATGTGTTCCTCTGGTCCACCTCACCGCGTAGGGCCCAGAAGGGAGGCCTGAGCGGTCATGGCCTAGGTGTGGCCTCTGGTCGTAGTGTGGGTTCACCTTCCTTTATCATTGCCTGCTCAGGGCTTAATGCACTGAATAGTTCTTTGCTATGGCTTCCAGAGCATACGAAGTGGAAAGAAGGTTGAAACTGGGCAGTCTGACTCAGTTTCCCAACTTCGAAACTGCCTGCTGGTACATGGGGAAGCACCTGCTGGAGGCGTTCAAAAGTACGTCCCCTGGTCAGCGTCTCAGCCTGCGGCTCTGGACAGTTCGTTTGCGTGCGGAGCTCAGGGACACCGGGGAGTGGTAACAGTTCTGCCATCATGCAGCAGGGCGGCTGGGCCCTGGGGAACAGGCTGAGCGATGCCTTCATGGGCCCTGAGCTAGTCCCCTTAGCTCATGGGCCTTGCTTTTCCTGTCTGTGTGCTGTGGGGCTGGACTGGACTCCTGCCTGCAGGGTCATCTGGTGTTACAAAAAGAGCACTGGCCGCATGTTCCCAGACCTGGTGTGTGTTCTGCTCGGTTCCTGTGGCCTTGTGTGGTTACTGACAGGGCTCAGTTGGGATGCTGAGAGGCCTGCAGGGACCCCTGCAGCATCCCTGCTGTACTGTGGGTGGGTGGGTGTGCATGCCAGAGTCCCCTGTGGAAGGCCTGTGGGAAGGGGTGGGCTCCACTGGGTCCGTGCCCTCTGTGGGCATGGCCCTCCATCCCGGGCCCTGCCAGGCCATGCCTTCGGGATCAGCGTTTGGCTCCTGGTGGCCAACCCCTGCTCAGGTCACCAGACTTTCTGCAGCCGGGTGAGGGACCCAGGAGGAGCATTTACTTTCATGGAGAGCTTCCTTTTTCAGCAGCACCCACCCTTCCAGGAAGCTGCTGTTTTGTGTTCCCGTAAGAGCTGAGTGGAGACCACCGTATCAGGACTCCTTTGCACTTTGGCTCTAATTTGAGATGAGAAAGCTGAAAATGGTTCTTAACCTGGGCTGGCCAAGTTTCAGTGAAATTCTTCCATCGCTCTCTAAATTCAAGCCCTGTGCTCCACCCTGGCAGGGCGAGTGCCCTGTCCTAGGGGCCTCTTGCCAGGGGGATGGTATGGGAGTAGTGTGAGTGGAGTCACACCCTGGGGACATTGGGACAGCCTGACCAGGGTGACCGCTGACTAGCTGGGCCTCTCTGAGCTGCCTCTGCCTCTCTGCCTCAGGCTTTCCTGTGTGAAGGGGCTGGCAGCTCAGCAGCCCCAGAGCTGAGAGGACCTAGGGATTTGCCACAGGCCAAACAAATGGTCACCTGGTGGTGTCAGAGCTCGGGGCTGCTCTGCCTCCATGCTGAGCTCTCTGCCTGAAGGGGGAATGCTCTGTTTTGTTTGGGGCTGGCTCCAGCTCCCAAGGGTGTGTTTGTGGTGGTGCTTGCCCTGAGCCACCCCAGTGGGAACTGGGCCCACTGCCCGGCATCCTTTAGCTATGCAGGGGGCAGTGTGAGGGTGGGAATCAGAAAGCATCTAGGGATGCTTGGTTTGGGGCATGACTGTGGCCCCTCACTGATGCAGGCTGGGGGCCAGGTGGAGGGAGGAGCCGGGCCACCTGCATAAGGGGCCAGGTGTGTAGACAATGGGAAGGCCAGTCCTGCCCCTCGCAGGGCATCTTAAGTGGGCATCCCCTAGGTTCCAAGAGGAACCGTTGGCAGTTGGGCAGGTGGCAGTGGGCAGAGGCCTCTGAAAGGTCTGGCCCTGAGCGTCCCCCACCACTGGGGCTTTAAGTCACCTGCAGGCGGCAGGTGAGAGTGGACACCCTCCTGAGCAAACCCATCTATCTTCCCCCAGGTTCTCACAAGTCTGGGAAGCAGCTGCCCCCTCATTTAGTCCAAGGAGCTAAAATTCTCAATGGTGCTTTCAGATCATGGACGAAAAAGCAGGTAGGGATGTGTACTAGGCGTGATCCAGGGCAGAAGGGAGGGTGGCAGGTGAGGAGCCATTCCCAGGGCTTGTCCTACCTTTGGTGGGAACTAGCATGTGAAAAGCAGGTGGGTGCCACCTGGCCAGGTCATACACCTGTTGGTGGGGGCAGGTGCAGGACAGAGCCCTCCATCTAGGGACCTGGCCTGAGGGGTGGGGGCTGGGCGGCAGGGAGATTCAGTGGGAGGAAATCAGGTGGTGGAGACAGCACTGCGCGAACCCGAAAGCACAGGGAGCAGGGAGGACTGGAGTCAGTGACCGGCTGGATGTTCAGGGCTCTGAAGAGGAGAGTGGAGATGTCCTCTTTGTCCTACTGGCTGTCCCAGGCATCAACTCAGAAGCTGGCTTTGCTCTGTGACTAGGACAGTCCCTGTGCCCCATGCCCCTCCATAGCCGCCCCCCCCCCCC